TAGTGGAAATGCATTTCATGATGTATGACCAATTTTATAGAAGTACTGACTGACCTGACGCTGGTGTTGAAAATCTGAATCTTGTTCCTCATACTGAATGAGTGAAGCAGATTTCTACACCGATCTCAGAGTAATGAACATCTGTCTTGCTATTCCAATCCTGACTGGATGACATTGACGCACTTACCTCTATCGCAACCTGTATTTCAAACACTGCTATGAAGGACACCACTTCCTTCAAAATTCTCCAGCTGTTACTTTTGATTGATGCTCATTGTTTCCGGCAGCCGAGTAGCTTTATCACCTCTGTTTTCTCTCCATGTTTTCTTGTTGGTCTTATGTTTACCAGTCTTCCGATTGGTAATATTAGGCAGCCTTGTCTTACCTTTGTCTTAACTCTGGTCTCCACCAGACATCAAATTATGAAATAAAATCGAATATCCTGTTCACCTTTGATGTACTTTTTCTGTATATCGACCACTGCTTTATCTTACTCGAGAATATAGATCAGTTGGTTACGTAATGATTTTGACAGGTTACTTATTTCACCATTTAAGGGTGACCCATATCGATCAGATTTTGAATTTTCCCACTTCTCAGACATCCACAACCACCACTTTGTAACCAGCGTACACAGGATAGTCTACTCCTCCAATCTGTTGCTTTAAAGTTACTTATGACATGAAAAATAACTTTTCAAAATCCAGTTAATCTGTTTTACTGAGGCCATAATGGTATCCTTTTTCACTCCACTTGAATCTTCACTGAAGCATAAATGCTTGAAGCTTTTGAAGTTTGAGTATCTGAGGCGGGGATGGGATTTGTTTCTCAACTGGGTTGCGTCGTCAGCCGTTAACTGTCACCCAAACCTCCCACGTATGTGTCTGATGAGCATGGTCTATGACTGAATTGCCGACACACACTCGTGTCACATATTTATTTATTTAACAGTTTCATTTGCCGATAAAAAGCAACTGAATATTAGTGTATTTTTAGATTTTAAAGACATTCATCACTGCGAAATCGATATGTAAATATACTGCATTAAACATGAAGAACAAGATTTGTGTTCTCAGAACTAGTGTCGAATCAGTCAGGGAATCCATATGTCTCAAAGACTTGGTGACCAAACTAAGGTAAAAGGGCCCAGGAACGTGAGCCCTCCAATGACCTTGAACGAATGCATACTAACCGTTGGATAACGAGACCGACTATTACTATGGTGTCACTATGATTATCGCTGTGTGCGAACAGAGCTAAAATTTCATGTCGATTTCATTTTTAAGTACTGTCTGGACAATGTGTTAATAGCTGGATAGAGTTACTGTCGCAACTAGCTTTAGGATCAAGGTTAGGGTTGTGATTAAGATTATGTTTGTTGTGGGCATTATTTATTTCTATTCTCCATATTTTTCTAGTAAATAGTCGTCAATCCTTTTAGTGGAACCCATATTAGTTCAACTGAGGTATTTTGAGGAAGACTGAAAAACAGGGTCACAATAGGAACTCACTTTCAGTCGCCTCAGTGAATGCATTTACAGAAACTGGTTCGACTTAAAAACTAATGCTCCTGATAATAACTTCAGGGTATTTTTGGGTCATGTCAGGGAAAAAAATCTTGTTTTAACGTATTTTCATGTACCTGTTTTGTAAATAAACGTCATTTTTAATGCAAAAATCACTGTATTTCCTGGTTGGTTGGATCAAGGTCGCCCGTGTGTTCGCATTCCATAGTTCGACTTTACGGACTTGACTAGTGTGTCACTATAGGCATTTTGAACAGGCTACTGCAGACGTCTATCATCAACTTCTCCCTTCACTGACACCATGCTGAAGATCAAATGCCCAACTGGCCAGAAAGAATTAGCATCAAGAAACTGTGGCAGGAAATAAACTAACCAAGAACACACAGCTTAAAAATATGTCGAAGAAAACTAAAATGGATAGTTTTGGACATATACAGAGGAGATCTTCAAGTGACCACGCTCGTCAGGTATACCTTTGACTAAAACTCGAGTGAGAAAAGATGGAGTTGGATATGATTTGACACTGTTAGGCAGGAGAGTGTGTGAAGCGAAGATGATGGCCAATTAAAAACGATTGCAGAAAACAGAATGAAATAGAAATGAAGCCCCGCTGAAGCCTTACATTCCATTTGGAAGCTGAGGGAATAACAATCATAATGATGAGTTATATTTCAAACCGCTAGATTGAATCTCATCATACCTACCTGAATGAAAAAGAAACGTGACAAATAACAGGTTGAAAATCGATATGGACGTGGGCTAATTTCAGTCACTGCATTCTTTCTGTATTAATTTGCACGTTACATATATCACAAACAGTGAAACAGTATTGTTACAATAAAGAAAGAAAGACCAGATTTACAGTATAAAACGACATCGTCATTCTACTTCACAGGTTCCCCTCATCAGTTACGTACCACTTCCTGAAATTACAACAGTTATAAAAGTATGAATGACAGCAACATACTTCAATGTTTGATGGTGGTGGAGGAAATATTATAAAATTAACTCATTAAATTTATAAGCATTACAACTCTTATTTAATTGGTGGATGGTGACTAGCAGTGGAATCCAGGATGCGCATTTCGTCCTGTTTCGTACTCTTCGGCTGGATGTACCTGCACTTCTCAGTGAGTGATGATTTTCCCACCGAGGCTCGAACCCAGTGCCTATAGTTTCAAACACCAAAGCGTTATTCCCTAGACCACTTGGGCCACGAGAGCCACCTCTTGTGCAACGGGTCATATTAATTTAATTGAATTTTAGATTTTCGAGCCTCGGTGGGAACATCATCAATCACTGAGAAATGCAGGTACATCCAGATGACGAGTGTCAAATAGGATGAAATGCGCATCCTGGATTCCACTGCTAGTCACCATCCACCAATTAAATACTAATTAAATGCCCAGACATCGTCGAAGCGTCTGCCCAAGAAGCCGACATGTCAACCTTAAACCGAGCACTTCGGTCCAATCAATCGACGGGAAAATCTAAAATTAAATTAAATTACATCTCTTAGTTTAAGTTAACATCAATTTATATACTTTCAGAGTAGAAAAGGAGGGTAAGAGGAGAAGACAGAAAGATCTAATAAAAAGAGACAGCTTGTAGGACCAAGGCAACTCAAAGAAGACTGATGGGACTCTGAAGAGAATAACAAATCGAAAGCCCACATGGAATGGCCAGCTGAAAAACGTTTGCAGTTGGGTAACCATCATTTGCAAGCGGAACCTGATAATATATCTTGCTACTGGAATCCGTAGAATTTGCAACCCCAAATCAGTGGAAAAAGAGATCACTCTTTTGAGGTGGACACAGCCCTATAATGCCTATCCACCGCACCTTATAGATGAACACATAAAGCCGACAATCAGCATACAACAACCCATCTCTGTACCGAAGAAGAGGCTATACATGAATGTGCCGTTCAAAGACAAACTTCTGGCCGACATCCTAGAGAGAAGAATATCTAACCCCCTTGAAAGAACATTCTCTGCTGCTACACTACGATTGGTATTCTCAAGCCACTCACTGTTCTTCAACAACTCCAAAGATAAACTATCTCATATGACCACTTCTGTATGCATCTACCAATTCACTTGCTCATGTGGAGCGAGGTATATACGTCGTCAGGCGCGTGTTTTATCTAAAAGAGTAAAAGAGCATTATCTTGCTTCGTCACGAAAAGGTACCAGTGGATCAATAAGGAGTGCTGTATCTGAACGTATATTCAGCACTGATCACTCAATAATATAAGCAGAATTCATTCAAAGTCATCTACAAAGTCAAAAAAAGCCTTCCGAAGACTGTAAGCTCACGTATACTTTGCATTGCCAAGACCTTAGCGATCCGGATAGAAAACCCTGAATTTTGCACACAGAAGAAACTTCTCCATCCCCGTTCTAGATTGGGTATGATTCCATGTTCTACCATTTTGTTAATGCTGCTTTTTTTGAATTTTCGTATGACTTTTTAGTAACATCTTTTTCTTAACCAACCTTTTATTTATTCTTTCTACCTACTGCGTAATTTATTTTTGGCACGTGCCTCAATGCTTCTTCATTAACATCCTGTCTTTATGAACTTGTTTCATATGACGTAACCCCAGTCGAGACTTAATAATCACCACCTCCCTCCTAGTTACATTTTGATTATTCATCACATTTTTGAAACATTTTGATGACGTAAACAATAACGGTAACTAAACTTTATTTTTGTTTGACAATCCCAATGTACACACACACATAAAATTATTATGTATAAGTGAGACTATACAGCTAAGCGAATGAATTCGTTGAAAAGAGACTCTTTGCTGAACTTTTTGCTCTCATCTTCATCAGTACGCATCCACCAACCGGGTTCAAGCCACGGAGGACCTTTCGGTTAAAAGGTAACATTAATCTGATGCTTACTAGTGACTGGCCGTGTTCAGGTAGGTAGGGTAGGTAGTTACCTGGGTTCTAGTGGGAAGCAGGTCGTGACCAGTAGGGTACAGTAGGTTGGGAGAGGGTGAAGACAACTACTCGCCATCGATGACATTGGCTAATGCCAGTCGCACTATATCTTGAGTGAATTCACAGAAGCTGGAATTTATGGAGTGACCATTGGGTTGGATCACAGTATCTAAATGTTCTACGAGCTACCCTTGTAGTCAGAAAGTGTCCTGGCTCGTTCGAACCCCAGTGAGGTAGTGTCTACTGCTGAAGGGTTCTAAACTTGAGTGACGAAACAACTATCCAGCAGTACTCCCTGGCTGGTGGTCTTCAATAATCCTCTAGCCAATGTCAGTTTGTAATGAAATCTTGTAGCCCTATAATTACTAAAACCGCAAAGGTCAAAGTTTGATCCGCTTTATCTTCGATACTCGTTACATAAAGGAATCAACAACAAAAAATGTATCATGATTCGATAAACATTTTGCTCTTATTTAATTCTTCCATTTTACTTTCTCTGCCTCTCCAATTTACCCCACAGAAAAACCCTCCAATGAACTTGTCAATGAATATAAATCACTGAATGCCAATCTAAACCAACTACAGGGTAAGTCCTCATTTTTAAATAAAAGTCTGCATATTTTGTGCATGCATTTTGAAATAATGTAAAGCTTTTCTTTTTATTCCTCCTTTGAGGCTCTGAAGAAAATAAAGGGGATTTAGTTGTGGGCTGTGTGCCTCACATCTGTCCACAAGATTTAGTTTCTTCTCCGATACACATGATCTACTCTCTTAATGGCTTTCCTATTCAAGTGTGAGCGCCTGTCCAGCAAAAATGGTGTCGCACAGTGGTCTCCTGAGAGAACCAGTACGAAAGTTTTCAGCGACGTGTTAGGAATCCATTTGGCGACGGGTGATCAAAAAATCTAAACCACACAGAAACACTCATGGACTTGTCATTATCATTTTTGGGCTTCAGCTGCATATTTCCACCTTATCCCATTCTCTGCAGTTCACTTTAGCTGCTTGGCTCTATGACTGCCAATAGGCTGTCATCGGCTCCAACTCGCGCGATCTTCCTCATGTTACTCTCGGACCGCTGCTGCCTAAATTGTCGTTTCCTATTCGAGTTCCATTTGACAGATGATCAGGCTGGCGAGTGATATCACCCAAGGGTCTCCTCAGGATGTGTCTGATCCAACCATCTGCATTTTCTTCGGAATATTTGTTAGGCAAGATGGTTCTTGTCTAGTTCGTCCCCTACTGGAGTTTCTTGCTGCTAATTCTCTCTCACTGGTCAGTAGGTCATCTGATCTTCAAAATATGGAGCAGTCAACAAAGGTAGCAGGTGTTGATAAAGGTCTGGCCATAGTAGGCCTGTTGGAAATTCGTTGCGTGATGTCAACGCCAAGTTTACAGGCGAGAACCAACAAACTGGTTGAAAAAGTAATGAAGACAGGACTCCGGCTGAACATAGAGAAGACGGAGGTGATGAAGATGAACAAACAGCAACAATCACTATTAACAGAATAAATCTGAAAAACGTTACTTCATTTACCTATCTAGGAAGCATCGTTCCAACCACAGTTTTGGTCATGGATTAGGGTGTCGAAACCAGCCAGAACTGATAAGGCAATGCAGATCTTTATCAGTTTGAAGTCAATTTGGAAATCTCCCCCACTCTGCTTCAGAATAAACAACAAAATTCTGATTCTGTTCAACACCAGTGTTACGTGTGTCAGTCAGTCAGTCGCTTTTTCTATACGGATCAGAAACTTACCAGCACGACAAGAAAGGCATTTCAAACAGGCTACTGTGACTGACTGTTATCAACACCCGCTCACCTTAGCTGGATCCATACTGAAATTAGCAACAAGAAACTCTGACAGGAAATGAACCATCCAATAATCTATTGATGAACGAATTTTTGCAGAAGGAAATGAGACGGATGGATCGTGTACACGCTGGGGCACCTAATCATTGCATGACTGGAACCGGAAGTGGAAACGACAATTAGGATGTTTGTTTGAATGGTAACATGGTTGAGGTCGTGTGAGACGGAGGATATGAAAGCTTATGCACCATTGTGGAGTCAGCCAGCTAAAGGCGACTATAGAGAGCAGAATGCTCCATTTGAAACCTAAGAGAATAAACAATAGTAACAGCAGTGGAATCTGGCATGCACAATTCACCCTATTTGCGATTCGAATTTCACCACAGTGACCTCATGTGCATCAAGTATCAGGACCTAGTAACATATTAGACTATTCAGTGGAGTTTCAGAGGGTTAGTACCAGTGGGAACACCATCAGTCAGTTGGTCAGTCTCTCACTGGCTGATGCAACCTCAAACAGGAAGAAATATGTACACACTTGATTCCAGAAATTATGGAAACATTCATACTTCTTACCTACGTGTCTGTTATCAACACAGAGACAGACAATGAGCATTAATCAAAAAATCAGTCAGTCGATATGAAATATGAAAATTCCTCCTAAAACTTGTCATATGATACTTTTATATACTTGATGATATCATGAAATTTAGAAAAATCAGATCATTTGATCGTATATATATATATATATATATATATATTTGATTTACGCTCAATAAAAACTCATTCTAATCATTATTAATGTGTGTGAACTTAATTCATATGAACTTGTTACTGGATCAATTAATCAGAAAATGGAAGAAAAAACAGAAAGAAAGCAAGAAAGTCAATCGATGTACTATTGATTAATTGATAAGGCGATTGCTAATCGATACACACTTATACACACAATCGATGTTGTCATTATTATTTTATTGTTATTCTCTTGGGTTCTAACTCGAATATGGGGCTTTAACCTCAACATATCTATATTTGAAATGATTTCCAGGTGTGTTGTGTTCGGGTCTCAGCGGTGGGAACACAGATAATACTCTTTAGGAATGTAGACGATTCTCAAATAGGAGGAAAAGTGTGCATCCTGGATTCTACACCACCAGTGTTCACCATCAAAACAAACTGAGCTCTCCAATTATCCTGTTACCTAGACTGGTGAAAGAAGTCACTTCCTTGAAATTTCTTTCATTGATATTGATTAGAACTTGTTGTTATTGTTGTTGTTGTTGTTACTAGTTGGGTATATTCATCCCCTCCTTCTTCTCTGTGTTCACCTGATGTCTCCTATCTTTCCTGTCTGCCTGCCTGTTCTGCCAACTTCTTGTTGCTGGTTTCCACCTGTGTAGATATTAGGGTTTGTTGTGTGACAGGGTTGAATTATCCACGCGCGAAGTCTTCTTATCGACCCAACGTATACCCGTATGTAACGACCGAAACCGATGTGTTTTGGTTTGAACGAAGGGGACCGACCTTTGTACTCCTACTGTATATCTGATCAAAGCTTCCCTGAATCGCTCACACTGTCACGATAGCAAAAAGGCAGTTGTTGACGATAAAATCTATGGTGCTATTTAACTACAGTAACGTATAAAATATATATATGTTTTGCTATATGGATCAGAAACTTGGCGGGTCACAAAGAATATTTCCAACAAGTTGCAGACCTTTATCAACAGCTGTCTTCGTTCTATACTCAAGATCATATGGCCGGAAATAATCACAAACAAGAAGCTATGAGGACAAACGAAACAAGAACCAATCGCTCAACAAATATGCAGGAGAAAGTAGAGGTGGATTGGACACTAGCTGCGGAGGCCACTGGGTGAAATCGCGCGTCAGGCCATCACTCGAGTGGAACCCGAAAGGGAAGCGGCGAGTGGGACGTCCAAGCGTGACATGGAGGAGATCGTGTGAAGAGGAGTTGAAACAGCATGGACTAACATGGATGCAAGTGAAAAGTACAGCAGAAGACAGAAGCAAGTGGAGGCGTGCAGTTGAAGCCCTATGTTCCACTAGGAACTCAAGGGAACAGTAATAATAATAAATATATAAAATATTCAAAACTGACTCAACGATGCCGTTAGGTAGCTATACAAATGCAATCCTTTCTCGAGTAAGATGCGAATATTGTACAACACAATTATTTAACCAAAACGCACCGTAAGAAGGACTTCAGGGTGAAGAAGAATACTTCCATAAAGGTGGGATCAAGACCACTGTCAGCACGAATCACACACTGAGCAATTCCTTCTGACAGTCGAAGGTCAGGAAGGCCTTGAATCACTCAAATAGAATCTCAGTCGGAAAGCAACATATTGTCAGTTTACACATAACCACAAGGAGAAGCATTAAAATTAGATACTAAAAAGGACAGAACAAAGATAAAAAGTAGGAATTAAGTGAATATATATGATGACATGAAAGTTCCATAACAATGACATATGCATATGTAGCCCCGAAGGAAAACGGTTAATAATTACGAAGTCAGCTGAAACATCCAAACAAGTGTAATTAGATCATTCTGGAGGGATCTTCCATCTTTTCAATCTCCACGCAGAGTCTGTTTCATGGTCCACTCTACCACAGTGAGGAATTTCACCATCGGTGTTAGCAGACAGTATTGTCTTACATCCTTGTCTTCAATCCAGTTGTTTTATTTGTGAGTGAAACGCTTCGAATCCGCAGCTGACCTTCAGGAGAAGATAAAGTCAACTGATTGATTGAATGGTCGATCGTGTGCGCACAGATTTTCCTGAAGTCTTTATAATTTGAAAGGAGATACTGATGAAAATGCGAAGTAATAACCAAATTTTTCACGATGCTATTGAAACATTAAAACGACGGTTGTAGCGAAGAAGAAAATCTTCTTTTCGACGAATTCATTACCAACTAGGTAGCTGTACATTCGCGTATTTATAGGAAAAGATTGAGAAACCTCAAGACCACTATATTTCCAGTCATTCTAGGGTCAAAGTGATGACCGTTTGACCTTTACTCTCTAACGGCCTTATAACAGGCTTAGCCAGCGAGATTTGGGAGTGCTTCCGTTGGCCAAAGATAAATCCCCAGACCACTCATGAAGCGTGGTGCGTCACTGATCCTACTGCGTCCTACCGCTCCATCACCGAACACTGATAAATTCCTGTTAAACGCAAAGTTGAAAGGTTGAGAAATAGTGTTCCGCAACGCAAATCAGATTTACTCAAATATCTGATAAAAATTGTTCAGATCACTAAATATACACATTAGATCATTGGAAATAATAAACACTACACGGTTACAGCGAAGGGAATTTTCTTTTCACCAAATTCATTACGAATTAGACAGCTATAAGTGATATGGTTAAATTCGCGTATTTTGATAGCTCCTCGATCATCGATTCTTATAAAATTTCTTCTGGTTTCACGGTCAGGAGAGGTACCAGGAAAAAGTTGCCAATAATTAGACAGGATGTTCAGTATCAGACAAAGTGACTTTAGCCAAGTAACTCCTAGCAGCAATATGAATGCCTATCCACAACAGACGTGTCAGCTAGTTAGTAAGTTAGTTGGGCGGAAGACACACCGTTAACCCTCTGCTAACCACATTCCTCATTGTCCTACTTAATATATAACATTATTATTATTTGTTTTTGAGAACCCAGAGGAGAATTAATGGGAAGGGGAACAATAAAGAAGGAAGATGTGTAGAATACATGGACTACAAAGATTGTAAGAGGA